GCCCAGTGGCATCCACTGAAGGCTGCTCCTTTGACTCTTTCTGCAGGATCTATGTGATATAAATATTTGCCGTGCAGTTGAAACAATTACTTCTATCTGATTTCTGATTACATCAACCGCTATGCCTGCTCAACTGAAGATACAGTCTTGGTATCTGTGGTCCCAGATGAACATCATCAACATGAACCAAGGGGCAGGAAAGAAAACAATTGGCCAAAATTCCCCAGAGGCCTTCCCTGAGGCATTCAAAGGGGTTTGTAAATTAGTCCCCAATAGCAATGGGAAGGAAGGTGGCACTTTGCAACCCCTGGCCTTACCTTGCCAGAGGTTCTGCTGAGGTGTGCACCATTTAGATAATAACATGATTCACAAAACAAATGTCAAGCCTAGAGATAGGCAAAAACAGAACCCAAAACTGGAGTGTGGGGTAGCTGCCACTCTGAAGGTAAGAGCTGGCCTTGAAGGCTGTCTTCAGATTAAAGGAAGACATTAAATACATCAGGAATAAGCACCAATTGTTTGCCTGTGGGAGAAAAGAAACTACAAAACAGGAGCAAGGACTATCACCAACAGAACAAAAGGTGGCAGGCATAACCCTTGGAATGCATATCAGTGATGTGACAGTTCTTTAAAGTGCCATGGTATTTTTTATGTGGTGAGAGCAGCCAGGATCGCACAAATTTCCCTGTAATCCTAACTGGGGGATGGCTGTCAGATGGCACCCATGTGAACAAGGCACCGGTGTTGTTTGGGTAACAAAACTGAGTGTGAAGCTGAGAAGTGCTGAGAAGTGCAGGATGGAGGAAATCATTAAGCCCCTGGAGAACAAGAGCTGTGAAACTAAGTGGGTGGGATTATTTACTACTGAAAAAACACCAGGGGATGACTTCACTGTGGTTTTCAATACTGGGAAGGTGACCAGCTGTTCTTTCTCCTCTACACCCAAGACAAAAGAAAGCTGGCTTGAATTTCTGCAAGAAAGACATACAAAGAACTATCTGATCAGCAGGGAGGTTACAGAATCTTTGCTAAAGAGCCAGACTCTCGGCCACATCCTCGTGTCTGGAACAACTCAAGCACAGCCTGTCTTGAGCACACGGAGGGAACGTGCTGGGTGATCTAAGTCTCTCCTCACAGGAATCAAAGCCAGCCTTCCTTCAGCTAACTTTCACCCTTGGATCTGGAAAAGTGGTGATAGGACAAGGGTGAGCAACACCCATGGGGGACACCTGGTTTCTCAACAACAGGAAAAACTGCAACAGGAGGCAATGTGCCTCTTTGTTTCCTATATCACACCTCCAAAAGAGTCCAAGACTACAGAAAAAGGATGATGCCAAAACCCAGTGTGGGGTGTTATACATGTCTTTGCTATATTCCCCAAATAAATTTCTCCTAATAATACCTTGGCATAAGCTCAGAAACGCCCCCCCCACAAAAAAACATGATTACAACTAGAGCTAAACTATAAATAAGGCCCCCAAAGTCCAGGGGTTTAAATGCAACTGTTGCCTGCTTTCAAATGCAGGACAGTATACATCTGAATATGAAACTGACAGCTGAGCTGCCTTTCTCTAGAGACATTATGAAATGTAAAGACACAAATGCATTTCAAATGCATTCAGAATTATATTGAGGCTGTGGGTCATGGTGCATGCCAGAGACAGAGGCATCAGGAGTTCAAGGCCAGCCTGGGCTACATAAGAAGCAAAATCATCAGGATTGCCTCAAGTTTCCTGAAGGAAAGGGCTAGCAGCAACTTTTCCTGGGCCCCCACACATCTGTGATTACTGTGGATGGTTTATTCCACATCTTACAAAGCAGAGGTCACAACCGGGCTGAATTCACTTTAGTGGTTTCTAAAGTTTAATTGCCAATGTTTTGCTTTTTTATTTTTTTAAATTTAGTGTATACACACACACACACACCATATGTATCTGTGAGTGCCACAGCCAGCATGAGGAAGTTAAAGAACACAACTTTCAGGAGAGGGTGGGTTCACAGGACTAAATTTGGGTTGTCTGGCTTGTCAGGACTAGACAATAATAGCTTAAAAATCAGAAATTCTCAGCTTTTCTTAAAAACTGGGAAAAGCAGTAAACACTGCCTGGAGACACTCATCTGGAATGTTCCCTGCTCCGGACGGTTGGAGAGGGGTGCCTCAGTTTGCTCCAGTTGCCACCATGTCCTATTGTCTCTCTTCGAGGTGGTGCATCACTGCTGTTTTCCTTATGCCCAAGTACAGTGGTGCTCCAGAAGGCACACTGCTGACTATGAGCAGCCACTCCCAGAAATGGAAGATTAAAGAAGAGAAACCGTCACACTGGCATTGCCTACCTTTTTCCAATAAGGACAGAATGTTCTCTCTTGTGTTGAGGTAGCTAGGGATTTTGTATCTTCCTTTCTTTCTCCTCCAGGAACAAAATAGCTTCCCTATTCCTTCTGAACCCCCACCACCACCCTGAAATCCCACAGTTTTGGGGGGATAGTTTCCTATTTAGTTACTTATAAAAGTCAGATGACCTAAGACTAGGGGTTGTCAAGAAAATCAATAACAAAAACAATCACGTGGCCATAAAGTGGTGTGAGCTTCAATCGCACATGGACTTGAACCCAGCCTGCAGTCTGACACTCCCATGACCTCATCATCACTAACGACAGCTTAGCTTCTGACCCAGGGCTGACTTCAGTTAGCACTTGTCTGCCAATCAAAAACTTCAGATCCTAACTTTAAGGCCCAGTCTCACTTTTGACTCAAAATACCACAGTACCTGCCCAGGTCCCTGGGCCTGGGCAAGGATGCCTTCTGATTCAAGTGCTTCTTGTTACTTGCCACCAACTGCTCAGAGAACAACTCCCACCCCCCACCCCAGTGCATGCCTGCATGCCCCGGAGCTAGGTTTCTCAGCATCAGATGCATTTGTGGGACACCCATAGACACAGGTCAACAACTACCTCATCATTCTTGGCTTCCTGTTGCCCCAGCCTCGCCCTGGCCTCCATTCCAGTGGACTCCTCCCCTTACCCACATACTGTTTACTCTCAGACCCAACCTCCTCTTGTTTTCCTATAGCTTCAGAAAGCCCGTGCCTTGCCATTACCTGATTCCATCTTACCATTTGTACTGCATGGGGCAATTTTGAGTCAAAACCTGCAGCTCTGTTCAGAACAAACACTTTGCCTACATCTGCAAGGCAATTCTCATTCCTAGCTCAAGTGATGAGGTGGAGGCGGAAAAGGGGTTGAATAATAAAATTTCACTTCACCCTGAGTTAGGCAACCTTACTGTAGTTTCATCACTTGGCACATTAGAATCTGAGTCTTCTGATCAGAAACATTTGTATTTCAAAATAAAAGCATCCAATCACTAAATGCAAACTGAAACATCACCTCATGATCCTGACTTTTTAGATTAGCACATAAGATGGGTCAGACGGTTTTCTTCCAATTTCCTCACCTGAATCCATGCAGTGAGCTTTCTGCCTGGGCCTTGCTTAGCCCTATGCCCAAGGCCCCATGCTGTCCCTGGGCAATCTTTGGGGTCCCACACATATTCCACATGCAAAGCTGAGTATCTATCCTAAAAGTGGTTTCTTTCAAGGGGGGGACAGGGACATAAAATGTTTCTTGGCCTCAGTTTAAAACACATACACACACACACAACTCTCTGATGTTCCCAGTGAATAGTCATACGTTAGCAATTTAGGCCCACTGATCTCCTTCAGAGAACGAATGCCAAGACTGGAATGGCCAGGGGAGTCTTGTGGAGGTGGAAGCTGTCTGCTCCGTCTAGATTCCACAGTGACAATATGGAACAAACCCCCTCTGCTGAGAGGCCTGGTTTTAAAGTGAGACCGTCTCACAGCTCGCCCAGAGCAGCTGCTCTGTTCTCTGCCAGAGGACAGAGCAGCACGTTCTCCTGAGAAGCTGCCAGCTGCCTGTGCAGAGCCGGGGTACGCTTTCATCCAAAATACACACAAACCCCTGCTTCTTCTCGGTGAGAGCCGAGGCTTCCCTTCCCCTCCTGCTGAGGAAAAGCCCTGCCTCACCTTGCCTCCACCCCACCTTGGGATCTTTCTTAGCATCCTCCTTAATGTTGATCCTATCTGTTTAAGGAATGGAAAAAATCCTCCACAGTTCCTGGTAGAATGCTGAGAAAACAGACTGCCACAATCCAGCAGCACTCATGATAAAAGTGGAGAAGGATGCTCACACCAAGTGTGTTAGGACGAGAGGATGAGGGTTTCCACAGAGGAGACAGACGCATCATTACATACATCTAACAAACGGCATGTGAAAAGATGTTTTGCCTTTGGAAAAAGAACTTCTGTACAAGAGTCATTCATAAAAATAGAAGATTTACTTTTGTAACAATCCCCTCCTTTCTGCTTTATGAAAAGGAGGTTTGTCACTAGTCAAAACCACATCAGCAGATTAAATGGCCACCACCTCCCACACACTGTTGTATTTTAGTAGATTCTGACCTCTAACATTCAGGACAGAGCACCAGCTGAAGGAAAACCACAGCTCCCAACAATGTTGCCCAGCTGAGTATCAGTCCTCTATTTCCAGCTACCATCACCCCAGCTACAGAGTGGTAAATGCAACTCAGGGAAACTAAACAGACAGCTATGGTCTCCACATGATGGCTACTTAAACCCAGGGAAGATGGCCCAGGTTCTGGCATCTTCACAGAGGATGGTCAGCCTGCTCCATGGGACTCCATCCTGGTCAGCCATGTTTCCCAGTAATACAGAGACAGTTGTTACACAGAAAAAAGTGACTGGATGGACATTCAGTCATTAACCGGACCTTTGACTCAAAGTTTACTTAACACTCAGGACAGTACAAGTTCCACATCAACAATGGGTGGAAACGTCTCTTGCAGCACAATCTGGGTCCCAGACAGTACCTGACGTGTAGTTGTAACGACGTTCAAAGTGCTTTTTCCACAAAGCATTTGAATTCAAGTAGCCGAAAAGGAATAGGTAAAGTTTGCAGAGCTCAGTGAAGTCAGAACAAACAGTGCTGGTGCTTCCTCTTCTCTTTACCTGCTTTCTCTCTCGCTCCCGGAACAGGCTCCGATCTAAGGACTGACCTCATGTAGCTAGCTGCCACCTGATCTAACGGACATGCCCTGTAGAGCTCCACATGCTTTTGGGAGGTGGGAGACTCTGCTAAATATGTTAGAGGGCTAGAGCAGAAAGGATGGAGTGTTGGCCAGAATTTCCTTCCAGATATCCTCGTGTGAGCCCTCTGCTCCAAGTAGGCTGCACAACCGCAGAGGTGAGCTGGAGAACTGGAGTGAGCAGCAGTTAAAGTGGCGTTGCTTAGATTCTTCCATGTCTTTACAAAGGGGCAACCGCTTGGAGTTCATCAGTGTAGCTGTGGCAACCATGTTCTCCTTTGCAAACCCCAGAGGTGAGAAGCTTGGAAGGGAGGGCAGGGGGATCCTCCTCGCCTAAGGAGAGAAGAAAGGACAGAGCCACACAGTCAGTGTGTTTCACTGGTCCAGACCCCCATGCCACAACATGGCTGGGATTCACTTTTGCACTTTGTATCAATGAAGCAGGCATCAGAACCAGCTCAGACCAACCTTCCTTTAGGGCCAAAGTTTTGCATGTGTGACTCTAAAAAATTACAGGTGTGGTAGATTCCTCCTGAGGCTCTCTGGGGAAGAGCCCTCCTACTTGGAGTGCTGTGTAGAGCAAGGATGGAGAATACTGCATTCATGAACTTCAGGTTCAATATATATCAGGGCTTTGAAGGCAGTGGGAGGATAAAGGTAGCAAATGCTATGGGTCCCAGCAAAGACATACACAGAAAATAAACATAATCTTTAAAGGCAATACCATGTGCAACAGTATATATAACATGGTGGAGGGGTTGGTCTGAGCAGCTCACTATAATTTACCATCATTTCTGCAGTTCAATATTACCATTACTTGGAATAAATCAAGAATATCAGAGGAGTTATGTTATTTCCTATCAGGTTTCACTATCCAGGAAGGTACCCAAATTGGAGAAATGCCTTGATGGCTTTCAAAAGTGTGGCCAAAGGCTGTATGAACTGTATCAAGAGTCCAATCCCGGGCTGGAGAGATGGCTCAGAGGTTAAGAGCACCGACTGCTCTTCCAGAGGTTCTGAGTTCAATTCTCAGCAACCACATGGTAGCTCCCAACCATCCATTATGAGCCCTGGTGCCCTCTTCTGGTGTGCAGATATACATGGAATCAGAATGTTGTATACACAATAAATAAATAAATAAAATCCTTATAAAAAAAAAAAAAAAGAGTCCAATCCCTAGACAGGCACAGTGGTACACGCCTTTAATCCCAGCACTCAGAAGCAGGTGGATCTCTGTTGAGTTCAGGGCCAGCCTGGTTTACATAGTGAATTCCAGGACAGGCAGAGTATACACAGTGAGACCCTGTCTCAAAAACAAAACCAATAAATACATAAATAAATGATATATAGGTATATAGATGATATATATATATATGAATGACTGATTGATTGATTGATTGATTGACAGACAGACAGACAGGTAGGTAGGTAGGTAGATAGAAAAATGAGGGCCCAGTTCCAAGGCATCTTACCTAGACCAGAGGAGGAAGATACACTCTCGGTCAGGGAAGATGTTTCCATTTGGTCAGGGGAGAGTCCTTCCATCAGAGGCAGAGACAACTCTGATGAGGGCACAGAGGAATCATATATGCCTGAGTCCCGTGGCATATCCGAGGGAATGCCAGCTTTCACTGCATGCAACAGGGGGTGCAAGGCAGGGCCACTATCACAGATGGGTGGGGCCTCAGTATCTTGGTCCAGGCCTGCATGGTGATTTTCCAGGTATGAGTATGAGTCAGCTGGCCTAGTGGCCCCAAGTACGGAAGCCTCGGCTTTTAGACAGAAGTCACTCTCTCGCCCTGGTTTGCTTATGACATCATTTAAAACCAAACCTGAGTCAAACTTCTCCAGGACTGGCTCCTGGTAGCGCACAGGGGGAGGATGGAAGGGTATAAACTGCTTCTCGAACCAATCAGGCTCCTCGTCAATAAACTGGTGCATGTTGCAAATGGCAACATACAAGGAGCGGCCAGACTTGCTCCGGAAGTAGTTCCTTCTGCTGCTATGTCCCGGGTGCTGACCCAGCCCCTGCAGGCTGAGTTCTCCTGAGTGCAGATGGGAACACAGTTCGGGAAGGTTGTCCATGAGCTTATATTTGGTGCTCAGGTCCAGGACACAGGGGACATCTCCTTCACAGGAGTAATCAAAGTAAACGGCGATAAACTTGCTCAGCGCTGCAGATGAACTCTGCTTGGCCTGACGGAGCTTCTCAGCAATGGCTGCCACAGCCACTAGGAAGAGCTCTCCTTGCCCCAGGCCACCACTGCCACCTTTGTGTTTGTAGTTCTTCTTATCTACAAAGTACTTCATGCCTTTGGAGCACACGACGATGATGAACTGGGACTCGTGGATCTTCTGAATGACCCATTCCCTCTGACCTTCCCTGCAGAGGCTGACATCTTCCCATAGGTCCAGAGCCACCTGGAAAGAGGACAGGTCACCTTGCTGCTTATATTACACCAATGCCCAGAGAGAAGACTGGAGTGACAGTGAGTGAGGTCCCATCATCTGCCCTTAGCCACTATTATCAGGGATATGTGCACACACAGAGAAACACCCAAAGCTCTGTGATTAGCAACCGCATTCACACACTAGACTTCCTGAAGTGCTTGCCATCCATGACATTACTTTGATAACACGTTGGGTCATTAGCATCGCTGCCCTACAAGTGAAGAGACAGAGACCAGGGTTTTCAGCAACTTGTCTAAAACACCTTGAGAATGTCCTCATGGAGCCTACAGTATGACAGAGAGCACAGAATAGGAAGGAGCTCAGGGTGGTGTGTGTGATGAGTGAGGCTTCCTGACATAAGTAGCAGAAAGATCCTGGGGACAAGGCTCTGAGAAGAGGATGTGGGGAGTGACCCTAGAGTGTAATGAAAAATAGGGCTTGGACCTGGCGCCAGGGCAACTGACAATGACAGGCGACTCACATGCAGAGTGTGACTAAGAAAGAGGGGCTCTGTGCCATGTTCACAGACCCAGGATTAGCCAATGTTCTGCTGCTTAGTGTGGTTTTCACTGGTTAACCCTGTCTGGATTCAGTGTCTTTCTCAATGGTTTCACAGAGGTCTACAGTGTCATAGCTCTACAAGGCCTGTGAACCATGAGGGTTGGGGGTAAGAGGCCAAGACAGTACTGGAATCCCTGATAAGGAAAAAAATCAAGTATGTCTGATTCTCACAAAGGGTTTTACTGTTCAAACTACTTTCACCTGATACTGTAAGCAGCATCCCTTGACAACTGTACTGGAACCATTTCTCCTGTAGCTCAAAAATTATTTCCTAACAGCTAACCATAGATTATACAGGAAGGAGCATTCTGGAAGGATCTCATTCTCCCATTCTAAAGTGGTACCCAAGGGAAGAAAGCCCCAACATCTACCAACTGTTGAAAAGAATAATGAATCATCTCGGACTTCACCAACATTATGCACATTCAAGCTAACTGGGTACTTTTAAAATATATGGCCTCTAGGTTTATATATTGTATAAACAGTTCTACTAATTTTCTGATCTGTATTTTGTTAAATCACATGTGCGCTATTTTACAAAACCGTAAAACTCTGTACAGGTCTGATTTCATCGTAATAAATAAAACATAAGTGTTTAAAAACATATATATTCCTATTTCTGACTGAGCAATCATAATGTGAGGTATTCTGATAATCAGGAAATCATCAGAAATGAGCCAGCCTGGCACTAAGAAGTTTAACAACCTGAACTAACTCAGCTATGGTAAGTCAACATTATGGATGATGTTGTAGCTATTTAAAAAACAAACTTTATGGGGCTGGAGAGATGGCTCAGAGGTTAAGAGCACTGACTGCTCTTCCAGAGGTCCTGAGTTCAATTCCCAGCACCCACATGGTGGCTCCCAACCATCCGTTATGAGAGCTGGTACCCTCTTCTGGTGTGCAGATATACATGGAAGCAGAATGTTGAATACATAACAAATAAATAAAATCTTAAAAAAAAACTTTATGTGCAATTTCACCTATGTACAAAAGAACAGGGCAGCCGGGCGTTGGTGGCGCATACCTTTAATCCCAGCACTCAGGAGGCAGAGGCAGGCAGATCTCTGTGAGTTCGAGACCAGCCTGGTCTCCAGAGATAGGCTCCAAAGCTACACAGAGAAACCCTGTCTCCAAAAACAAAAAAACAAACAAACAAACAAACAAAAATGAACAGGGCACAAATACACCACTTTGCCTGTACTATCCGAACAAGTCAGGCCACTGGCTACAGTGGTAGCAATTTTCAGCAGCTGTTCACCTGCTAAGCTCAAGGTTTTGTCCACCAGGAGGGAAATCCCATCAGCTTGTAAATACATCTTATTAACACCAGAGGGCACTCTCACCAAAGAAATGAGCCAACTAGTAGTTCAAAGTAAAGGAACTGCAAAACATCACATGATAATTGCTTTTGTGACTGACAGGGTATGCCTTCCACAATAGTTTCAGACTTCACTCTAAAAATGAGGCATCACTGTCTACAGAAAAGCTACATGTTAATAGTTACCTCAAGAAGAGCTAAGAAAGGTAGGCATGGGATGCAAGTCTTTAACCCAGCACTTGGGATACAGGCCATGGATCTCCGTAAGAAGAATAAAAAGGAGGAAGTGGAGGTGAGGGGGGAGGAACAGGAGGAGAAGCCAGAGGAGGAACAGCAGGAGGAAGAGGAAGAGAGCTAAGAAACCAGCATAGACATTCAAACTCTTGGTAAATTCTGGAGCCCTCTCCTTTTACTTTCTGGTTCTCTCTAGTCACTGCCTTCTCACTGGTTTTTCCCTTTCCATGACATCATACCAATCAACCTCAGGCCTCCCGGTCTCCAAGTTCCCTTCCAGGGGCAGACCCACCCTCCATTCCCAATCTCAGCAGAACTCCTTCAGAGAATTGCCCAAACTCCTCAAAGTTATCTTCTTTGTCCTTCTCTCCCGATGCCCCACTGAGGTTTTGATCCTACAGGTGTGCACCCATGGTGTCAGGTGACAATCTCACATTCTGGTCACCTGTTCCATGTCAGGACACTCTTTCTTCAGAACTCGCAAAATGTCCTACCATGTGGATGCCGCTCAAGGGTTTCAAGCAAGAATGTGTTATATGAAACATTTACTGCTGGTGACAGATTGGACAAACTCAGGCTAACTAACTCTGGTTTGGAAAGTAAGGCATGGGGCAAAAGTAGGTTTCCAGAAAGTCCTGGAGAGAAGGCATTGAAGAGGAATGTGGAACTTATATCCTGCCCAGGGTAAAAGAAGAAACTGGATTCCGCACCTCACAGCCACAGAAATCCTGGAGGAAGTAGGCAAAACACTGGACCACGTTCATGTGATTCTGGCCGTCTTTAGTGGAGTAACAGAGGAAGACCTTGGGCCGTGGCTGGAGCCTGTCCCTGGGGAGAGCGGCAGCATATGTGGAGGACTCGGGGCTTTCTTCATCTAAATGTGAATATATATTTTCTAAATTGGGAGAGAAGATAAGGTTGACAACTCTAAACAAAGCTTTGTCTTTTTCCATATGACCTGGGTCTTGGTATCTTCAGGAATGAGCAGCTAGGCTAGGGCACAGTGGCCCACAACAGAAATCCCAGCACTTGAGAGGTGGAGGCAAAAAGGTCAGAAGCTCAGGATCATCCCAACCACACAGCGAGCTGGAGGCCAGCCCAGGCTACACGAGAGCCAGTCTCCAAAGTAAATTTACCAAAAGGAACAGTTGACATCTTATCTAGGGAGTCTCTGGCCCCCAACTCCCCCAGCCTCAAGCTGCACTGTGAATGAGACAGTCAGTTCCTGCAGTCTCAGGAAGTGAAAAAAAAAAAATGGTATTAACGGATACTGTCCTTGGATGTGCCAAGAAATGTTGCAGCAGCCACTCATATCAGTGAAGTGCCAGTGACAGCTTTGGCAACCAAAGCTACCAAATAAAACATTAATGGAGGGAAGGAGAATTGTTTAAGTATAATTTTTAAAAGGTGAAGCATACCTAAACAAAACAAAATTACTTTTCTGTTTTTTGACAAAAGGTCTCATGGTATTACTGAGGCTAGCCTCCAATTCCCGGATTGAAGTGATCCTCCTGCCTTAGCCTCACAAGTAGCTGGGATACCAAGCTAGCGCCACCATGCCAAGTCTTGAGTGAACATCTTCATGACTTTTATTTAAGTTTATACCTGGGTAACCCCACCTAGACCAAGATATGGCTCCTCTACAGTTTTCAGGTGAAATAACTGACTTATCAATGATGAAGCCCTCCATATGACTCCATTCTCATACTCAGACTTCCTGAGTTTGAGAACTGAATTAGATGCCTCTCTATTGCCAGGTGCTAGAGATTAAAAGCCAACTGCGAACTTCAGTAGGCAAAGAACTGGCAAGGAAGTTTGAGACACCCCAAGACAACAGGGCTTCCCAGGCTCCTTCTTTGCTGGCACCCTGCCACACACTAGAGGGTGGAGAGGAGAGGGCACAGCACAAAGAGACAGTTACCGTGTTGTTTCTTTCTGCACATCACAGTGAAAAGCGTTGCAAATGCCGAGATGACAACCAGAGGCACCGTGATGGCCACAGCTCTGATGGGTCCAGCCCACGGAGAGTGCACTGGGAGATTTCAAAGAGAAAGCTTTTAAACTTAAGCAGCAAAACAGGTTCACAGAGGGGTAAAAGAAGTTTTTCCCCTTTCTGTTTTTAAGCATAAGCTGACTAACAGGTTCCAGGGCCCCCACCAACAACACCACCTCACTCTAGCCCTGCTGTGGTGATTATAAAAGGATTCAAATTCTTTTTAAAGGGTTGTAGGAAAGAATTCAATAGTTCTGAATATGCTGGGACAGCAAATGCCTGGGAGCAAGAACTTTGCCTAAGGAAAGTCCTCCTTCCCACCACTTTTCTTCCAGCGGCAGATGCCCTGCCCACTTTGATCTTCAAGGTACCAACATGAATGCACAAGGAAACTCATTTGAGAAGAGGTGACTGTGCTGTACATGAAGTACGTACAGAGCACAGAAAATAGCAGAAGCCTGCTCTGGAGGGTGTGGCATCAGAGCCAAGCCGAAGAGCCTTACCTGGCCTTACTGCATACTGTACCACTTTCCTAGTTGTGTTGTTGTCATCCACCAGCTGCAGAACAGAGAGAGTGCCGTGTTACTATCGTTTAAGTGATAGCACATCTATAAATTGTATCTAGGAGGGGAGTAGAAAACTGGTGACTTCACTCATTTTTCCATCCCCGTGCAGTGGGAGCACAAAGGGAGAATAATGGCGGCAGTTTAACACTTTAAGTCAACCTTTTTTAAAAAAGATGGAGGGGCTGGAGAGATGGCTCAGAGGTTAAGAGCACTGATGCTCTTCCAGAGGTCCTGAGTTCAACTCCCAGCAGCCACATGGTGGCTCACAAGCACCCATTATGAGATCTGGTGCCCTCTTCTGGTGTGCAGATATACATGGAAGCAGAATGTTGTATACATAATAAATAAATAAAATCAAAAGATGGAGCAGAGGAGATGGATCCATGAATAAAATATTTGTTGTGCAAGTTTGAAAACCTGAGTTCAAATCCCCAGGGCTGCACAGCCAGGAGCATGGTGTGAACATCTGTAATCCCGGGAGGAACAGACATGAAAAGTTAGTTTTCAGAGTCAGCCTCTGTTCTATAGGGAGTTTGAGACTATCCTGGGTACATGGAACTCAGTCTTAAAGTGAATGAACAAGTAAAAGACTCAAAATTCTATGGGAACTGCTTCCCTGTGGACGTTGCAACAGGGCATTCCCTGGCAGTACATACCTCAGTGACACAATGTAGCAAACAGGGCATTCTATGGCTATACATACCTCAATGACATAACCCCCTGGAGAAACATTTTGGAGGAGACAGCTGCTCGTCTCTGTATTCTGGTCCTACAAAGAAGCAAACAGCAATTCAAATGTTCATGTCTTAGAAAAGGCCCCACGCCTCTTCCTGAAGCTGAAGGAGACTTGCCACTGGTTTTGAGAACACTTATTTTAAAAACAAAAACAACTAACAAAAAACCAAGGGCCATGGATCTGCTACTGACTTGGCTCAAGTCCTGTGTTTTCTCCTTCCCAGCTATGTGACCTCCAGCAAGTCAGATGACCTCCCTGAACCCCAGGTTTTCCATCTATAAAGGATGAATGGAAGCCGGCTGTTTGATGAGCAGTCCGGATTTGAAGAGCAGAAAGCTCGGGGATTGCCACATAGCACCTGGTAGATGCTTAAAACACAATACAAACTAGAAACACTTGTGCTTTGATTCCCTTGGATCTGTGTCACCCCAAAAGAGCCAAAATGCCAAGGGCAATGGTAAGTCGGCTAGAGACAGACCCAACAGCAAACATTCTTAAACATCCACTGACCATGGGACTGACACTTACCCCAGCCACCCACTATCACTTTGAAACATATGTGTTCCTTTCACAGTCGCTTACCTGCTTGCAAGTCCTCCTCCTGAAGGGGCCTTCGTGCTTGAGCTTATAGTGAAGATAGAAGCCACGGAAGCCGAAGTTATGTGGCGCGTGGTCGAAGGACACTTGCACATCTGAACCATGCTGAGTGATATTCAGATTCCGAGGCTTCCAGACTATGAGAGGAAGGACCCAGTAAGCACCCAAAGGCTGTCCCAGCACCGTTATGGGGTAACACTTTGAGACAACAAAATAGAATGTACTTACAGGGCTTACAGGCCATGTTGTCAGGTTGTAACAACAGGTCACAGGCTAGTAGGTTTAAAAAAAAAAAAAAGATGGTTAGTTTTAGGACAGTTCAATGTCTTCTTTCTATAACAATTGAACAAAATATATACTGGGCCTGGTATGCTGGCGAAGATACAAATTACATCAACTCAACAATAGTTTTCAGTACAGTTATGTTGTATCTTGACAAAAATTGAAACGATGGACAGCATTTCATGCCACCTATGTGGAAGCTATGTAAAGCCCCTGAGGTTTTTAAAGCTTGTCCAGTATTACTTAGCTTCAAGGCTCCAAAGGCAGTGGAACTATTCACACTTCTGTCACTCAGAATGCCCCACTGCAGAGATGACTACACACAAGAGGGCTCTTTTTATTATTTTTTTTAAAGATTTATTTATTATGTATATAGTGTTCTGCTTCCATGTAACCCTGCAGGCCAGCAGAAGGCATCAGACATCATTATAGATGGTTGTGAGCCACCATGTGGTTGCTGGGAACTCAGGACCTCTGGAAGAACAGCCAGCACTCTTAACTTCTGAGCCATCTCTCAAGCTGCATAAGAGGACTCTAGAGTAGTTCTGGTAACCACTAAAATGTTATTTCAACCTTCACCTGCATTCTAATTTTTAGGCACAATTTTTCATAAACACATATCTGATCATTATGTAGAAAGCAAGAACAGATGTGACACACACATGGTCTTGACCTAATGAATATCATTTTAATTGGGAAAAGAAGGCAAACAAAATAACTTGGCAGCACAGAAAACAACCTCATTAAGAATTTGACAAAAGCCGGCGTTGGTGGTGCACACCTTTAATCCCAGCACTCGGGAGGCAGAAGCAGGTGGATCTCTGTGAGTTCAAGGCCAGCCTGGTCTACAAGAGCTAGTTCCAGGACAGCCTCCAAAGCCACAGAGAAACCCTGCCTCAAAAAACTCAAAAAAGTAAAAGAAAGAGACCAGTCTCAAGGAAAGAGGATGCCAACCTGGACAGGCAGCTGGCCATCCTAGATGGTAACCAAGACCTAGAACCCCAGATGAGAAATATGATCAGCAGGCAGGAGGAAGCCATTGAAGGTCTCATGGTGACTGGCCACCAAATTTAAAAGCAGCCATTCAGGAAGATGAAAGCAAAGCCACCACGGAATATGAGAAAGGTGATTGGAAAACCAGCATGGCTGGTGTGGCTTCAGAACTGGGCTTCTAGTGCTCAGCTCTCAGTTCCCAGCTCCCAGCACAGCCCTTTGCCCACTCTGTGTGTCAGCACACATCTATTTAGTGTATGGGTGGGGCTGTTTTCTTTATAGGATTATAACAGAGGTAGACTGCATTAATATTTAGAAAGCATTTAGAATAGAGATTGAAGAAACTTTAACGTTAATTCAGTGAAATTTTCTAGAAAAAGTGGTCTCGGGTGTGCATTTTTCAAATTGCATTTGTTTATTTTATATGTGGGGCATATGCACGCCACAGCCCACATGTGGAGGTCAGAACACCAGAGGACAACTTTGGGGAGTTGGTTCTCTCTTTTCTCATGTGGATCCTGTGAAGTGAATGCAAGTGGTCAGGGTTGCCAGAAAGTGGATTCCTGTGCCACCTTGCCTGCCTGAAACACGGCTTTTAATCTCATCCTGACCACCCTCGTGATATTAGAACATTTTATCTTTTTACCTTTCCTTCTCGACTTATACTTTTTATTCCCAGGCTGTGTTTTTGTTTGTTTGTTTTTAAATCACTTCCAACCTCTTTTTTTTTTTTTTTTTTTTTTTGAATGCCAGAGATCAGAGGGCCTTGTGCAAGCTAGGCAAGTACTCTATAACCAAATTACAAAATCACACCTGCCAACAAGTATCACATTGCTTTTATACATAGATACATTAATGGTGATCACTGTGTCATCAAAAGACAAGTGCTGGGCTAGTGAGACAGCTTAGCAAGTAAAGGCATATGCCACCAAGCCTGATGACCTACCTGGTGTTTGAATCTCCCTGGAGCCACATGGTAGAAGAAAAAGACCAAGTCCCTCAAGTTATTCTCTGACCTCCATACCATACCATGTTGTCCACACACACACACGCACGCACGCACGCACGCACTTACTCTGGTGCCTACACACACACACACACACACACTCTGTGGCACGCCCCGCCCCCAAACACATGCACACAAAATAAATACAATTTAGCCAGGCCTGGTGGTACATGCCTTTAATCCTAGGACTTGGGAGGCAGAGACAAGTTGGCTCCCTGTGAATTTAAGACCAGCCTGGTTTATGGAGTGAGTTCCAAGACAGCTAGGGCTACACAGAGAAACCCTATCTCAAGAACCAAACAACAAAGATAATAATTAATTAATAATAATAACAACAAATGTTTTAAAATATCAACTGCCATCTGGCATGGCAGCACGTGCTTGTAATCCCACTTGGAAGGCAGGGGCAGTAGTACTGTCAAGTTTGAGGCCAGCCTTAACTATATAACTAGGTTCTAGAATCAAGGCTACAGAGTAGGACCTTGTCGCCATAAATAAATAAACAAACAACTATGTAAATAAACCATCATGCCTGATCCAAAACAAAGAAGAGAGAAGTATCTCTAATTTGGCCTAGCCTAAATTTTCTTGATGTGCTTTTCTTCCTTTCTTTCCTTTTTCTTGGCTTTTTTTGAGATAGGTTTTCTCTATGTAACAGCCCTGTTGTCCTGGAACTCACTTCTTTGTACACCAGGCTGGCCTCAAACTCACTGAGATCCGCCTGCCTCTGCCTCCCGAGTACTGGGATCAAAGGCATGTGCCACCACAGCCAGGCTTATTGGTGTATTTGTCTTTATATTAGGATAGGATTTTGCTGTGTCCTATCTACACAGATCAAATTTGCAGTGATCTTCTTGCTTCTCTCCTGAGTGCTGAGATTACAGGCATGTGCCACTATGTCTAGCAAATAACTGCTAACCCAGCACATGCCAGGCAAGCACTCTACCACTGGGCTATAGCTGAAGCCTGCTAACCTTTATTTACTTATTTCCTTTTTATTATCTTATGTGTATGGGTGTTTTGCCTGTAGATATGTCTGTGTACCATTTGTGTGCCTGGTGTTCACGGAGGTCAGAAGAGGGCACTGGATTCCTGCAACTAGAATTACAGATGTTGTGAGCTGCCAAAGAGGTGCTGGGAATCAAACCCAGATCCTCTGGAAGAACAGCCTGTGCTCTTAAGTACTGAGCCAACTCTCCAGCCTTTATTCTTTTTTGTTTGTTTGTTTGTTTGTTTGTGTTTCTCTGTGGCTTTGGAGGCTGTCCTGGAACTAGCTCTTGCAGACCAGGCTGGTCTAGAACTCACAGAGATCCACCTACCTCTGCCTCCTGAGTGCTGGGATTAAAGGCGTGTGCCACCACTGCCCAGCTAGCCTTTATTCTTGAAAATACATTTCTGAGCTGGTATAGTGGCTCATGCCTGTAATCCTAGCATTCATGAGGTGGAGACAGGAAGAATGACATGAGGCTTAGTCTAATCTGGGCTACCTGTTAAATTTCAGGGCAAATTGGAGTGTAGAGAAACCATGTCTTTTTTTTTTTTTTATGTGAATTTGCTTCTCACCCTGCTTATCAGTATCTGGTGTGTTTGTAAACACATCTGTGGAGAGATCAACAGAAGTATAAATGACTCCTTTGGGAGCCAGGCAAGAAAGACCATACTTACCCCGGGTTCTGAAGAAGAAAGGATGGTAATTGCTTTCATTTTTAATGGAAGGGAAAGGGACAATCTTTACAAAGTAATCCGTTTCAAATTTCATATTCAGGAAAGGCTGAGATTCCATTCCCTAAAAGGGAACAAAGACAAATGTAGTGTGGAGGAATTGTCCACCCCCACTCCCACCTACAAAAGACCAGCACTCCACACTATCACTTAGACACAATTGCAGAGCCAAGCAAATCCCAGGAAAGCAGAAAGTCAGGTCAACTTGACAGACTCAGCTTGGGTTTGGAGCCCTGATGCTAAAGATGGACAGTGCTGCCTGTTCTTAGACAAGAAAGCCATGACACCTTAATACTGAGCCTTGGAGCTGGATAGAGTGAAGAAGGGTGAGCCCACAGTACTCTTCAGAGCACAGACACCTGGGAGAGCTGTAACTGCTTCAGTGTAACCAGAGAGGTGTGTTTACCACAGCTGAAGAGGCCTGCTGAAGAGCTTTCCAGTGTGTGTGGCAGGCTCAGCTGCTGCCTCCCATTCTTGCCCACCTTGGCTGAGCTGTGGACCCCATAGTCCTCCCACCCCCACCCCCTTCTCCAATTTCAGACTTTCAATAGACCTTTCAGACCCCCGGAACAATGGTGTCTTCAGGAGCACATTCCCTGAGTGTGACTTACCGTTCTTTTGAAGCTACTGTTGAGCTGTTTCGGGTCCTTTAGAATCAGTTGTTGGCACTGTCTTCCCTCTGACTTCAGCTCCTCCAGTATTACTCGAAATCCTTTTAGGAATTCAATGCCTAAGCAAAGCAGGGGTCTTTATGAAATGCAGACCTAATTACTTCTGAACACATTTTCCCTCTTCTAAGGTCACATCCTCTCCAGCTATGCATCAAAGCTAAAGGACATCCTATTCTGCCAGTGAATCCACAGAACAGAAGAACATACAACCTTTCTTCATTCCTCTGGGACAGCAGGAGTGGTCGCTATCATGGTACCTAATACATCTCTAGCCTGCTTGGCCACTGAGACGAAGATCTACTGCTTTTGTAGCACTTGGGTTCAATATTTAGGATCAAGTCCAAAGTAACCACAAAGTCTCCAGGGGAATGAATAATTTCAGGCACACTGAACTGACAATAATCCCAGTGAATGCCTCCAAATTTTGTTTTTATCTCAAGTTTTAGCTATATACTTTCTTGAAAGTGAAACACTGGGAACTAACAAAATTCCCAACAAAGTGGATGTCTGCACCCAAGACGATTCCTAGGCTTGAGACTAAATATTTTAGGGAATTGGCATTCTTACTCTAATCATGCCTGAAATGCAGATATCCAATGGCTGCCCAGTGTGTGCTCTGCATACAGACCTCAGAGGCCCCAAGATGCCCACAGTGCTGCTGAAAGGCGCCGGCCCAGCCTCCACCTGAGCTTCCTCCCACTGCACATCTGACTAGATGCTTTCAAAAGGATTAAGATCTGATGGCCACAGGAGCCAGCACTGTGGCTCTGTATCCCATGGAGACTGGAGTGGCCCAAGTGCAGCTGGAGTTCCCCAAAGCTGGCCTCGATTGTGGAGATATCGATTTCACATGCTTTCTGAACAGCAGACAAGCAGACATTTTCAACCCTTCCCCTCCCAGGGCAAAAGTAATTACACAGGATGCAATTAACCAGGTGGGGAAATTATTGATGGCAAAGGTCACAGAAATCTTTTTCTCTTTTGAGTAGGTCCTCCAATTCTGTAATTATTTGATGAAGAGCACATATTTCATGGTGGCTCTGGCAGAGAAGCCACAATTAGAGCCTCATATTGTAGAAGCTGGGAATTTTACGGTGCCTGGCATTTTTCAATCACAAAGCTTCCTGTGGGGTGACAGTGGATCCATAAACAAGAGATTCAGACGTGATGGCATGATACAACATCTCTGTAGGACCTACTATATAGATCTCATGGAAGCCTGCCTTTTGAGACCAACCCCCCCCAAAAAAAAAACAAAAACAAAAAAACAAAAAACAGTAGCTCAGCAGTGATAGCACACACCTTTAATCCCAGCACTTGGGAGGCAGAGACAGGTGGATCTCTGGGAGTTCAAAGCTAGCCTAGTCTACAGATCTACATAGTGAGTTCCAAGGCAGTCAGAACTATTACACAGAGAAACCCTGACTTAAAAAAACAAAAACAAAATAACCAACCTGGTCTCCAACTTTAAAACTCACCAATTTCATGCTTTTTTATAAAAACAAGGATTCTCCTGGGGGGAGGATAATAAAATGTGCTGAAAGTGGACCCGCATGTCATTGTGACCACAGAGAACAGAGATCCTTATGGTGGAAACCAAAGCCAATGCCCCTGGACAGGCCACAGGCACTTCCAGCCTCTGACTAAGGCTAAAACACTTGGCTACAAAGTAAAAACCTTGTCTAAAAGTAAAAACATCACCAATCACATTATCTTTCAAACTCACAATTTTCTAAAACAAGGAAACAAAACACAGGCCATGGGGCACTGCTACAAGGTGTGTGTGTGCACACAGCAGGAGGGTACAACAAAGTGCAAAGTGCACCAGTGTCCACTCCACTCTCTGCTTCACTGTCATCCACACCTACTTGCTTGGAGGCCACACCACCCATTCCCCACAGAGAATATGACTGTTACCACTTACCAAGGGCCCCTGGGGACCAAAGAATGGTGACTGCCACTTGGTCATGGCAAGCATACTGGCTGATTGTGATGTTCTGGGCATCAGCAATCATGTGCTTCCCAACTGGATTCAAGTAGGTTGTACAGTCTAGAGAGTTGGGGAAAGGAGAGCAGTTTAAGTTTTCAACCTTTATTTTCAATTTCGTCTTAGCAGACTCTGCAGAGTATGCCTAGAGGCACCAAATCCACTCGTGTTAAGAATGTCCTCAAAACCTCAAATAAGACACTTAAGTTGATTATGGCTCGGGAAATATGTTACCCAGGGATGTAGGTGCAGCAACAAAAACCCACCCCTCTCGGGAATGAAACTCCTGGACACTGCTAGGACGGTTGGATACAGTGTAAATTTTTGTGTCATTCATTAGCTTGGTGGTGTTGTTGTTGTTGATTTGGGGTTTTTGTTTTGTTTTGTTTGTTTCCTCACTCCTGTCTTACTCCTATGACATTTTACAGAAACCACTAAGTGCTCTCACATCAATTCTTCCAGTTTTCAGCATTAAAGATGATGAGAAAGAAAACCCTGTTAAATACTTTGGAGTGTGTTTGTTTTTAGAAGAGACCAAGAGGGCAAGGTCACTAGGGAAAAGGAACTTCCATGCGGGTGTGAATCCCCAGGGGAGTCATTTCACAAGCAAACTGTTAAATAACTCAGAATCTATAATACAAGGTAGCATGTTGGGGCAATAAGGGGGACAGCTAACATTCTCAAAGACAAAACAGTTTTCTGAGAGATACCCACAACCCTGCTAAATCTCCAAATCCCTAAACTAATGGGGGGGGGGACAACCTTCTTTGATTTTTGTCTGATGGTGTCAATGAAGCCACTGATGACTGAGAAGCTGCAACACCCAATATTGCATAGTAAACCTTCAAAAGCTGTCCTAAGTTTTGAGCCAGAATCCTGCTTGATCGTCACAGAATCGTGTTGGATCATCATAGACAGAATCACCACATTCTGTAGCAGATGCCCTTGCTGAGAGACCTGGTATCCGGCTTCCCCAGAGTTCTCATGATTCAACTCAGATCCCCTCTTCTATACCTAATGCCAAGGGCCTTCACATCATCAGCCTGGCACCCCGGTGAAGCAGAGCCATTGCCCTGGGGTGGAAGACTCCAGGCAATTTCTAAGAAGCTTAATCAGTCTGTTGCATTTTTCCCCCTTGTAAGCTGTGCTTGTTTCCCATTTGAAAACACAGGGGATTTAAGAACAATGAAAAAGTCTTCCATGCTCTCATCACACACAGGTAAAGTGGTAAAGATTCCAAGGGGTACCTACCAAACCTGTCAGCATAATCTTTTCCCTACTGAAATACAATCATACACTAGCTAGCTACATGCCCAACTTTTAAAACTCTAGCCACCACAATGCCTGTGTGCTGCTTTCTTTCCTGACCACACATCAGGCAAGATGCCTTTCCTAAACTTCTAGTACTTCAAAAACAATCACATTTGAATTTCAGTATTACTTAAAAGGATGTTAATAATAATACTAAATTCTACTTGTACTAAAGCAAGACTCTTGGGCTAGAGAGGTGGCTTAGTGGTTAAACAGCTGGCCTTACAATTACTTGAACTGGAAATTCAGACTACATGGGTATAGTGGCTCTACTGCAATTCCAGCCTTGAGAAGTGGAGACAGGGGATCCCCAGGATCAAGCAGGCTATTGAGACTGACCACAGCAGCAAGCTCTGGGCTTGACTGAGAGATCCTGCTTTCCGTGAATATGGTGGAAGGGTAATCTAGGATGATTCTGACATCAACTTCCAGTCTCCAGGTGCACACCCAATCACATGCACAAGCACACACATGCATTTCCACACATGTGGGCCCACACACATGCAATCATGTATTCAGGTATATACACATGAAAATAGAAAAAAGAAAAAAAAAAAAACTCTCAAAATAATGCCTGCTCGAACGGTTGAGTCAGGGGGAGATTAGAAGAAAGGATATGTGATAGGTATTGTTTTTAGTTTGAGGGGGTGGTAGGGGAGGAAGGGAGGGAGAAGGGAACTGGGATTGTCATGTAATTCAATCTTGTTTGTAATTCAAAGAAAAAAAAGAAAAAAATAATGCCTGCTCAATGAATACAGAAGGGAATTACAGAATAGAATTGTGTGTGTGGAGGGGGGTTGGGGTCAACAACTAGTTCAACACCTATACTGCACAAATTAGCCCAGGGAGACCAGCCAGGTGGCTTGGAACCCATCACTGACCTATCCAGGGGCAGAATGATGACAAGCAGCTGAGGAAGGTGGGGGGGGGGGTCCTCTCAGACTCTAGCTGCTCCTGCTATTGGCATAAGCTGAGTTCAAAGTGTTCAGTCTGCAAAAATCTTAGCTAAAACCAGCTTAGGTTTTCCCAGTGTGGAAAAAGACAAGATCCTATCACACCTGTAAGGTGGGAGTGTTGTCACTGACTGAGGTCTGT